AATATAATAAATTTGACCTCTATAACTGTCACACTTCTCTACAATCACACATTTTCGTATCCCAAGTGTGTGATTATGGAGAGTTTTGACTGTATACAAAGATTAGCATTATATTATTGCATAAATTTTTATTTTATCTGTATTAATTTATTAGGTCCAAAGTTAATATTTCATTAACGAATTCAAGCTATCCAAATTCGGAATATTTTATTTCTATTAACCACATAGAACGGCTATTATAATAGCATTTGCAGCCCAATTTTTTTTAAAACAAATTAAAAAAAAAAAGTACTAAGATGAATGGCAAAGCCACCTATAGCATTAGTAATCTTATATAGGATGTTGGCTATCAGTTGATAAAACTTTACCAAAGGTACTATGCATACACTTGTTGCAAGAATTACGCAATGCATGGCAACCAATTATTGCCAGAAGACTTAATTCAAAAAATATCAGGACATTTTGATTCTAAACGTATTGATGAATCTTATCCAGTGCAGGCTTCAAATTTTCGCTTTCATGATAAAAAAAGTCTTTTAGAGTGGATAACCTCACCAGAGCTTCCATTAAAGCTTTATGTATGTGATTTGATCCAAGACAATTCATTACAATATGGCGTAATTTTACAGCGTTCAAAACCAGGGCGAGCTAAGAAAGCTGCATTTAAATTTTTAAAGGAACCTAAAATAACACAAATAAATAAAATTACTATCATCTTAACGCAACCTAAAACACGTCAAGAATCTTATTTATTAGAGAATGGTATTATTTTAAAGGAAAAAGATGGATTAGAACTTGATAAAATCCCTTTTACTGAGCATAATCCAATACTTAATGTTCCTTTGGAGGATTTTAAAAACTCTAAAAAGCAATTTTCGAATGCAATTTATTGCCAAATAATTTTTCATACTGTAAAAATTTCCTTTGACCTATCGGACATCGAATATTTACAAGATTTTTTAAATACAGTTAATTCAAAACTTCAAGGTCATGAACCATCTAAAAATCTTTGCAAGTTATTTGGTGATGATTATGGGCAATTGTTACCAAGAACTTTTACTTTAGGCGGAGTTTTGTCAAAAAAGTATATATCAA